GATATATTTATACCATAATCTAACATTTATAGTGACTTGTTCTAACTTTTGTGATAAATTATTGATCATTTACTTTTCAGCAATGTGATAAATTCTACCAAAATCAAGCCCATGGTATTTAAAGAATCCAGTGCAAGGAGGTCACTGAAAAGCAGTCAGGTGCACAGATTCAAGGATTTAACCGAACCTGGATTGAGCTTATTAGAGCAATTAAGCTTTGGAAATCAAATAGAGCAAGAACTGCCATGGAAATCAAATAGAGCAATTAAGCTTTGTCATTGATTGTATACTATTTGGTGCAAAGAATGAGATTCATATCGTAAGATAGATTATCAAAGACACCCTCAGATTACATTGTAATCTCCAGTATCTGAAATTTTTTTATCTGAGTTTTTGCAGAAAGCCTGAGAAACTTCAAAATTTAAATGTAAATTCGGGGGGTGCTGGAAGACCTCCATTCGTCTCCACTTTTGTCCTTGCCAACAAAAGCAAGGCCAGACCTTTCAAGTTGCATAATCATGTCAGGATTGACTTGCAGTTTAAAATCATATAGGAGGCTGTTATGGGCATTTTGAGGTTACAATGCTCTGTTCACGATTTTTTGAATCCAATATACTAGGGAGAACCATATAGGAGGCTGGATCCATGTAGCAGGCATCAGTTAGGCACAAAATGTTTCCATGCCTTCCTCAGCTGCTAAATAGTTCTTTTACCTTATAAAGAGAGGCATGAATCAGCAATAACAAGGGTGGTTGATCAACTTTAGCACCAACAGATCTTGCTCTTCTTAAACCAAAAGTTTCAAATTATGCAACAACTAAAAGCACATCGAGACTTAACATAAGTAGTAGCACTAGATATGAAAACACAAATTCAATTGATTGCCTCAAACACATTGCCCAGCACCATGATATCCCAACAAAAACAGACTGGAAACAGTATAAGAAGAACTTCAACACACACACACACTCACACACAAAATATAATAATAATAATAATAATAATACTCACACACAAATAATAATAATAATAATAATAATAATAATAATGGAACAAACCTCATATATATATATCTGTGCCTTTCATCAACAAAATTTACATTCCCATATCTGTTAATTAAAAAAAATGTTGTAGAATATATAGAAATAAAGGACAAGCAAATTTATTGATAATGCAGAAGACGAATGGATTGAAGGATCTCAAAGTTGGGCAGATTTGCTGTTTTTAACCTGGAAGTAAGTCCTTCTAGACCCAAGCCTCATCGTACCACCCACTAGTGTTGTTGAAACCTGCATTAGAGCAATCACAATTGAAAGGGGGGAAAAATATTAGTTAATACGAAGAGCAGAGATCCTTAGACGAAGCTGAAGAAATAATGCAGAATTGGCCCGTCTTACTCATCGGAAGCGAGAGAAGTGGAGGCTAGAAGCGTGAGGAAGGAGAAGAGTAGAAGGGATTTACCTTGATCTCAAAGATGTCTCCTCATTGCAGCTATCGCTCGTGGAATGGTAGAGACCGGAGAGAGTCGGCATGAAGGTTTATGCTGTAAATCAGTGAACAACAGTGGGTTGGCAGTCAGTGTTCGCCGATGGGAACCCTTGCAAGTTGTGAGGCGAGGCGGGGCGGCGAGATGAGTTGCGCAATAGGGCAGAGGGCGTCAAGGGCAGCGGGGTAAAAAGCAGCGAGCTGATGCGGGCCGCTGGGTTAATTCCGCGGCCGCGTTTAGTCGTTAAACCAAAACGACATATATTCAGTCGCAGGACAAACAAGTGAAACAAACATTTGAAAACGCCGCCCGCACAAATAAGTCAACCCCAAACGGGCCCTCAATCACTCGCATTACAATGTCATTTGCCTAAATACTTTGTACTACAAGTATGATATGACTATCATATCATATTAGTTAAATTGATCATATAGAATTGAATGTCAAGGCTTTGCATGGTTACACTTTTTTATTACAGATGCATATTACAAATAGAAGATATTGAATGACGAGTATAATGCGAGTAAAGTGTTTATAGTATGTTTGCTTGTGCATGTTAACTGATGCAGTTTACCGCCTATGATACTAGTTAGGAACACTGTGATACTTGCGCGCGTAAATAAAATAATATTATTTATATTGATTTACCTTTATTGGTATAAATTTTAGATGTCATTCCCACGAGGTATGGTTACATTTTTTTATTACATTTGCATATTTTAAATTAAAGATATTGAATGATGAGTATTATGCAAGTAAAGTGCTTATAATATGCTTGCTTATGCATGTTGACTGATGGAGTTCACCCCCTATGGTACTAATTAGGGAGGCTATGATACTTGTGCATGTAAATTGAATAGTATTATTTATCTTGCTTTACCTTTATTGGTACAAGTTTCAGATGTCATTTATATGACGTATGGTTGCAATTTTTTATTACAGATGTATATTATAAATTAAAGATATTGAATGATGAGTATAATGTAAGTAAAGTGCTTTTAGTATTTTTGCTTGTGCATGTTGATTGATGGAGTTCATTCCCTATGATATTAGTTAGGGATGCTATGATACTTGTGCACATAAATTGGATAATATTATTGACATTGATTTACTTTTGTTGGTATAAGTTCTAGACGTCATTCCTACGACTTGTGTGTGTGTAATGATATTGATTGATAATTGATAAAGTGCTACACATTAAACATTTCTAACTATCTTGAAAGAACATATTTGAAAATGTAAAATTATCAAATATTTTATATTGGTTTATTGTATGTATTGTTTTCCTTTTTTTATACTTTAGAAGTAAGAGTGCCCACTGACTATTGTGGCTCACTATATTTTAAGTTAATATTTTAGGTTTAATTGTTTGATTAGAAGATGAATTATGGAGTAGAAAATGTTTATACAAAATGTGGACAGCCCGAACTATGGTAAACATAACTTTCTTAATTTAATTTCTTTTATGTAGTGACTTTTTAAAGTATTTGTGGATGATTAATTGTTAGTGATAGAAAATGAAACTAAAAAAATTATATATATATATATATATATTTAAGTTTAAATTAACTCTAATTAAGCTTTTATTTTAATTCAGACAATTGAATGCACCATAGATTTTAGAAGAGGGAAATCTTGTAGGAAATTTAGAATTACTCCTTGCCATAACTATGAACATGAATGTCTTGACCCAAACGATGGCGGCGATGATGCAACCAATTTAACAGTTCATATCGCAATCCAGTGGGTGTTGTGGGTAAACACTCAAAGATATTTCAAGATTTGCATTTACCTTTGTTTAAGGGAATTGCAGATTCGATTGGGGTCAAGAACTGACTGATGCAGATAGAAAAAGTACTAGACACGGCGTACCCGGATGAAAGAAGAGCATCTCAACTACTTCTATGTTGGATAGAGAAGCCGAAAGGTTGTGGCATGAACAACGTCATGACAGATTAGGGGACATACCCAACATGATGGTAAATTAGGAGGATTTTGTGGAGCTTTTCAGAAAGTGTTTCTTGCCTTTTTTTGCTCGTAGACAGATGTAGGATAAGTTAATCAATTTGGTGGAAGGAGAGAAGATAATTATGCAGTTTGAAGCGAAATTCATTTCACTGTAGAGTTTTACACCACAGCTTATATCCACTGCAAAAGAAAAATGTTACTTTTTTTTTTCTAGATTGAAGCATTCGATCAGACGGTTTTTGGTGCCTTTGGGAATCAATGATTACTCAGTATTTGTGGAGCGAGTCAGACAAATGGAGATTGATTATCAGCATACTCAAAAACACAATGAGATCCATATGAGGAAGAGTATGGATGAAGAAGAGCATGTGGTTCAACCATTGGGATCCAATGGGAAGAAACAAATGTGTTAATGCAAAATAGTTAAGAAGAACAAAAGGGTAGACCAAGAGTACATGGATAGAAATTTTACAAAAAAAAACTAGCATAATTTAGAGTTTTCTCTTGATGCAATCAATGAGAGTGAATGAAGAAAAAAGATGATACATAATGAAAGCCCTAATAGGTTGGATAAAGCTAAATGATGACGACGAAGGTAGGGAAATTCACACTACTTTTAATTCATTTGGTTTACAAGAGTTCCTTAAAATAAACACGAGTAATTGCTCAAGGAGAGTTCGTGCATTCATTTTTTGGGATTAGTACGACTCTTTGGCCATATTAGCACTTTTGTAGATGCTGAAGCCTTTGAGAGCTCCTTTTATGAAACTTTATAAATGGTATGCTTATGAAGTTCCTATTTGTCATTCGTAGCATAATTATTGTTATAAATATCAGCATTTTGAAAATCGGACCAGCCGGTCGGACTGATCGAACCGTGAACCAAGTGTGGTATTGGTCCAGACACAAGTAAAAACCTGTTTTGAAATGAATCAAAGTCGAACCGTTCTAACCGCAGGTCCAGCCGAAATCCGCTTGAACCGTTCGAGTCGTCCGGTTTCCTCATCCGTGCTTCGGAGTTTCCAATGGAGAAGACGATGGTCTTGATCTGACCAAGGTTGTGCATGGGGAGTTTCCAATGGAGAAGAAAGATATTGGAGACTGAGCCAATGAGGGGAAGAAATTAAAAATGGAGTTTTGAGAAAGGAAATGATTAGACAGTAGGTAAAAAATTAATTATTTTTAAAATTTAAATGTTTTTTTAAAATTATTATGATAGAATCTTATATTTCATATTTATATTTTTAAAAATTAATTATTGTTAAATTTTAAAATATATGCTAAAATTATTATAATATTAGTAATTTAAAAAGTATGTATTTATTATATCATATTTAAATAAATTTATAATTTATCTCCGGTTCAACCGCGGTTCAACTCTTGAACCTTTAACCTCTCCTTTTATCGGCTCAATGTCCGGTCCGGTTTTTAGAACCTTGATAAATATTATGAAATTCGATCTATTCATTGCGTTAAACTTTGTCATTCAATTACTAGCTGCTGTTTAAGTAAGGTCTGTCTTTACTATTTATTTTCTGTTTGTTAGGGTTCTGGAAAATCTACATTAATTATGGCTATTGCTAAACATCTGGAAGAGCATGAAGAAATCTTAGCCCATGTGTATGTTATGAAATTTGATCGCTCTTTGCATTTTATTAATTTATTTTGTGCGTTATAATTTGTTTTTTTGATGATCAGTGAAATAGCTAATAAATTCTTGATTGCAGAATATTTATTAGCTGCTCAAAACTTGCTCTTGAGAAGGGTCAGACAATTCGTCAAGCAATTGCAGATTATGTTTCTGAAGCTCTACTTCATTCTCCCGCCATTGTTGTTTTTGATGATATCGATTATATTATTACATTATCACCTGATTCTGAGGGATCACAGACTCTCAATTCTGTCACTTCTTTGACAAATTTTTTGATAGATATTATGGATGAGTACAGGGTAAGGAGTTTACTTGAATTTTCCATTAGTTAGCTTTGATAGGATTTGATTTTACCCAAGTGTTTGCTAGCAAAAAAATCTCCCCACGTTTACTTTTGTTTCCTTATTTATTTTCTTAAATTCATGTGTTTTTCATTCTAATTAGGAAAATTGTCAGAACTTCTGTGGTTATGGCTGCATCGCTTTTGTGGCTTCTGCTCAGTCTCTTGGAAAACTGCCTCACTCATTAACATCTTCAGGTTGATCCTTGTGCTCTCATGGTTCCTCTTCTAGACCTTTCTAGTTTCTTTTGTCTCTTTGATTAATAACTAAATTACACTCGTATTTCAGGTAGGTTTGATTTCCATGTAGAACTGCCTGCTCCTGCTGTATCAGAAAGAGGAGCTATACTGAAGCATGAAATCCTGAAACGTGGTTTACATTGTTCGGAGGATATTATTTCTGAGGTTTCTTCCAAATGTGATGGTTTTGATGCATATGACTTGGTATTCTTTGCTCCCATCTAATATTTAGTGAATTATGCCGCTTAATGTTATTCATTTTTGTTGTTAGATTCTTTCTAAGAGTTCTTTTTGATTCAGCTGAAAAAGGTACCTAGGCACCATTATCATTGATCAGTTTTTCTTATATGTTGTCGCCAACAATGATTTCAAGATTTATCTTTATTTTCAAGTTTTTTCTTTCATTATTTAGAAGGGCTAATTAGATACAGTACCCAAAACATTCATATTTACAAATCAAGCATCCAGGTGATTTTTTGAACTATCAAACCAATGCATTTACACGGGTCAAGATCTAACCATTGAGAATTTTATGAAAATGAAAAACAGGGGTTGAGCTTTTATCATGAATTTTGATATTTGAGTGAGGATTTGAAAATAGATGAAAGAGGGTGGATGACTTGTAAATAACAATGTTTCGGGTGCTCTATATGTAACTATTTATAATTGTGCAATTAAATATGTTCCTTGAAACTAAAGTCTCATACAAGGAGGAAGCGTACTTTATTTCAAATTTTTATGCGGTGGGCCTTTTTTATTTAACAGCCCCGTTCCCAGTTCGCCTTTTTTTTATTGAAACAGAAAACCTAATTTTGCTCTAGTTAACATTATAAATTAAACCCTAGACCTCGAAAAAAAAAAAAAAACGTCAAGTTGAACAACATTGCACAACTCTGTTGTGAAACCATTGCCAGGGTAACTGCTAAGGAGAAACTCCTCGACATTGTTGTGCTGCAGAAATATGAAGTTGCTGTTGTAGTTCCATTCCTTCTCTATTATTCTTTTCGTATCGTTTGATACTATGCTTCTTTTCTCTCTCTTTTTATTTATTTCCTCTATTCTTTATTTTCTCTCTTTTCAATTCTTTATTGTAGGTAAGTTTTTAAGTTCTTTTTATTTTGGTTATTTGAAATTAACGAGAACTTCTGAAAAAGTTCAGTGGAAAATGTGGGTACAATAAAGAAGACCGATCGTGAAAACATAGTATAAGTGCAATTTTTTTGTATTAAAAAATTTATTTGAAATGCAAATATTATGAGAAAGAAGTTAAATGATGTTTGGATTGATCCGAGCCGTCGCATTTTGACTTAAAATTTAACTATTATCTCAAAATCATAATTGAAATAATTTTTATTTAATATTCTAATAATTTTTTGAATTCAAAGTATGAAGGAGCATAATACTATAAATTCTAAACCAATAGTAATTACTTTGCTTTGGTGTTGTCTCGTTTTCAGTACTCAACCTCTTTTCTTTCACTTATTTAAACCTGAATTATTTAAATAAGCACCGATAGTAAGTTATCATGACTTATTGGGATAATTACAACCCCAAATCACAATAACTCAAGAAAAAGAAATATCAGTTAAGCTCGTCTTTAATTCAAGCTATGAAAGTTATCATAACATTTGTTGAATATGGCCATAAATATTATTAATTATTAAAACAAAGTATGAGGATATGATCATAATATTTATTATTTCATTTAAGTGTCTAATGAACTTATCATATCTTAAAGTTCTTTTTTCTTTATTTTTGTACATATGTCTTAGGAGCACTTTATAAATTTAAATAATTCACCCGTAGCCAATATGTGATCCGTTGACATAGTAGGGCGTCAAATAACTGTACTATTTTCTTAGATGAAAAAGGCTCCAACTCATCTCTGATTGATTCATGCCTCCTCGACACAGTGTGGCATGGTTCTTATTTGTAGTATTGTTTGAGATGACAAAAAAATCATCATTGTGTGTGGGTATATTAGCGTGTGGGTATATTAGCGTCCTTAGCTGATACCATGAGAGGGTGAACTTCTTTCGATATGCGTATGCAAGTATTTCTATATCCAATATTTTATATTCTTCATAGCATGCATTATTTTTTTGTTAGAAACTATATATTTTTTATGAGTGATTACATGTTTTTTTAATGAGGATCTAAATGTTATATTCTGCTAATCTAATGGCATCTAAATATCGGGTTATGATATTCTAATATATTTTAAGGAAATTATTGTATAAATATTTATAAAGTAATACTGACATGCTGTTTTAATCTTAACAATATGACAAATTAGTTCAACATAGAACGTAAGAGCGGAAATCATAAATATAAAGAAATTAGTTCATAAATATATTTGTTAAATGAATTAGGTTTTAGAAACAACAATCAGGACTCTGATTTAGAAATGTAATGTACAATTTCTATTGTTAATCTTTCTTTATTTCTGGAGTATTCACTCCAATAAGTCAAAACCCAAATTCATATATAAGGCACATATTCAATACAGAACAATACAGATTATTTAAAATTTAATCTTATTTTAATTTTTTTTAAAGAATTATTATTATGATCATAAATTTTTACATTTATATTTAATATAATTAGTACCTTCATTAAATTAAAATTACTGTTTTTCTTATATTCTTTTTTCACTAACTTGTTTAATCAGAACCATATTAATTTTAAAGACTCTTATGTATGAGAATTTATTGATAGTATATATTAGTTTAAGCTGGAAATGGTAAATCAGTACAAAAACCTTCTACTTAAGTATTTATTTAAGAAGTTAAAGAATAATTTATATTTAAGTTAATTCAATTCCCAATTTGAGTATGCACAATTCACATAATCTTTTTCACTTGTTATTAAATTTGCTAAAGTTAAACAAATTTTCATACAACAATTAATAATAATCTAAATTTATTATATTACAATTAAATCTCATATATGCTATCTTCTAATCAATACTAATATCCAAAAATGACAAAAAATTTATCTTTAATACTAATTTCTTGTAAGTCTCTAAAGTAAGTTTGCCAAGAGTTCTTTCACCTATATAGATATTTATTCAATTAAAATAAATTCCAATTATGAAGATGATGTTTTCATAATTATCTTTAAAATAAATTCCAATAACTTTAAAACGACTTCTGCAAGTGTAAAAATTGCATATAGTTGGTTATGCTTAGGACTGTTAAAAAAACTCGTTGTTCGCGAAGAGCTCATGTTAGACTTGTTAAGTAGCTCATGTTTGAATCATTTGTTAAGTAAATGAGTTGAACACTAACAAATTTTTGCTTCATATAAAGAAATTGTATACATTATTTTTATAATAATATATTATATATATTCATATCTAAGTTTAATTCATAACAGTTTGTGTTGTCATGTGGTTCTGCGATTTCTACTACACAGAAACGGTGCAGGTTCAAATCCAACACTCTACATATATATTTTTTTTGAATTAATTTAAATGAGTAAATTTCAAGCTGAATATGATAAAAAATATTTAAATCGACCAGAACACGAGCACACTGTTCATGAGCAATTTAGAACACTAGTAGAATTCGAACAAGTTGAATAGAAGCCAAGCTTGAGCTTGCTCAAGCATGCCTCGTTTAAAACCCTAGTTATGCTTTGATTATGTTTTCATAATTATCTTCTTTACCCCATCGAACTAGAGCTATGCTATATTCAACTCTATATTTAATCTTCTCATTATGAAAAAAGCTAGGATATATTGTACTTGATGATTAACTTTATATGTGGTGTTGCGTTGACGTGGGAGCGTCCTGTAATCTTGTTTCGAAAATATTTCACGTTCCCACAGGTAGCAAGCCTTGCAATTTCATATTCGTGGAATGGGGGAGTTTTTGCATTCAACAACCGACCGTTTTTTTATTTTAGCCTGAGTTTTTTTCATATGCTGATTTCTATCTTTTCTTTCTTATTTCTAGTTAGGTATTTTCTATTGCGAGATTTTTTATATATATTTTTTTCTATTTCGAGAGGACTTTTTGCTTCTGTTTGTGTGTTTAGAGATTGTATCTCTAGTTTCTATGGAGTACTATTTCATTTTTTTTTTGTAAGTGACGTGTCTATAGCTTGTATGGGAACAAGTTGTGAACTTCCTTAACATTTGTACCATGTCATTTCATCGACCGTCTCGCCTTTTCAGCCAGGATGGCGTCGAATGTCGTCTACCCCTCCGAATATCGTTAATTACTCATATTTTGAATCCTTTACTATTCCTCTACTACCTCCTTCATCAACTAGCTCCTTAAACACCTTCTAGAAGCCCTAAAATAGTATCTTCTATTATCAAAATCCAATAAATTATAATTTTTTTTTATTTATTCTTCTTATTCCTAAACCAAGAATCCCATACAGCACTTGCACGAACAAATTTTTTTTTTTGCATTATCCACTTAGCCCTAACCTAAATCATATCTTTTTTTTGGCCAAATTTCTATTGGAAGAACGAGACGTCATACTGGTGAGATGTCCAATAACTTATTATAGAGGATATGTAGGGGGAAATCTTCTAAGTGCAATAAAAGGCTTGTCGTCTATGAGAGAATATAATCCAGTGATGACACCCATGGCCACAACAATGACTCACCAAATGAGGGGAGAAAGTGATTCCTTTCCTCTATGTAATTTCCGGTGATGAAGAACCAGCATCCAAATGATTTGGCATTGAATTTCAGAGAAACAAAGATTTTGGAGTGACGTGATCGCTTGGATTAGCGCCCGAAATTGAGCGCAGAACAACGCCAAAAATTGAGCGCAGAACAGTGCCCCAGTGGGGGGCGCTTCAAAACAGCGGGGCCGAAGCCCCATGAAAGCACGCGAAGCGGAGCGGGGACCCGCGGTTTCGTGAAGGCCGGAGAATTGTTGATAGGGAGGGAAATCGTGAATTCTCGTGATCTAGCTAGGCTATTCACACCGGATTTTTTCTTGGAAGTGTTTTCTGGATTCTTCTTAGTTTCCCACCTTTCCTTTTTGCTTAGAAGTTTCCTTTTAGCCTATAAATTGTTGTACTAGGTATGTAGGGAGTCAGTTCTGAGTGTGTTTAATTTTAGACCTTCTGTGTTGAGTTTCTTTCTCTTTTGTGGGTTGTGTCCGAGGAGGTGGTGGTGCTCTGACTGTATCCCTTCCGAGGTGGTCATTGCATCTTCCCCTTTTATCTTCCCAAACCCGCCCCTTTCATTCTCCTTAGCTGCTGGCCACTACAAGCTTCTCCCAAACTACCACACAACCACTACCGACCATCTACAACCTTTCCCACTTGCTGCCCCTAAAGTTTCACATTTTCCTCTCGCTACTACCAGCACTCTGTTGCTGTCACCACCCCTGCCAGCCATCCCGATCCATCTCGCCGATCACCACCCATTGGAATAAATATAAAGGTGTGCTTGTGTCATTTTGTGTGTTATTATTTTCGTTCGAGTTATGATGTAACCCTATTTTAATATTAATGAAAGTTTACTTTTTGTGTTTCCCCTATTTCCCCTACTAGTTTCGATATCATGAAATGAAGTTTGACTTGCTCGATTTTGACTGTTACATGGTTTTGGATGAGTTTTTAGAGTGGCTCCAAACATTAGAGCACATTTTTTTAATACATAAACGTTCCCCAGAACAAGATAGTTATATTGACGACTATCAAGCTTAGGAAAAATATTTTTGTGGTATGAGAGTTTGAAGCGTATTCGGCAGAGCAAAGTGAAGAGTATGATCACCACTTGGTTTAAGATGAAAAGGAAAATGCAACAAAAATACCTTTTCTTCATCATCAACAAGTTATGTTTATAAAACTCCACCCGTGCCAGAGAGATTCTTCTATGGAGTATACAACTGAATTAGATCAACTCATGCTGAAATTTGAATTTGTAGAAGCAGAGGAGCACATAGTAGCGAGATGTTTTGGAGTACTGAGATTATCTGTTAGTAATGTACTGCAACTGCAGCTAAGTTGGTCTCTATTTGATGTGAAAACACTAGTTTGAATGTAAAAAATAGCAATGTCACCAGATGACCGCCTTACCTTATAGAGTTCAACTCCAGAATCAGACAATAAGAGTACACTTAGTGGAACACTCGAGATGATCCCGTTTAAGAAAAACTAATTTAGAGTGGAGAAAAGGTGGATACCACAAGCACTCCAAAATCTCTCTCAGCCAAGAAGTGCTTCAAGTGCCATAATTTTGGATATATTACATAAGATTACCCAAATAAGATGATGATATTTTTCACTAAGCAGAGAACAATTAAAGAAATAAATAGTGACCTTAGGAGAAAATTAAGATATCAAGGAGTAGGGCCTTCCAGTCGATGAGGAGAGATATTGGTGATTCAAGTTGAGCTTCTGAGAGAGACTCCGACACGACTAATAATGATTGTCCTAGAAGGCGTGAGTTTGAGGAGCCAATATCAAAAATGGGGTAGCTCCTTTTGAAGGAATTGTTGGATGCCCTTACAGACAGTTTATCTTTTGGGTTCCCGCCATCGGAGTGATCCAACATGCTATACATTTTATTCTATATTTGGTTCCTCTAAACACTTGTTTATCAGACGTGCCTAGTAGAGTATGAGGAGTGGGAAAAACATGTTACAAATTTAATGGCTTGAGATCTGGTTCATGAGAATACCTATCTTTGTACTGTTTCAGTTCTAGCTGTTCCAAAAATAGATTGTTGTTTATTCTATTATAATAAACTTTGGAATGACGTATATGTTTCAAAGTTGTTGGGATGGACATGAGCATAGATTTTAAAGTGATGTTGCCTCAGAAATACTAATAAATTATATGCAGAATGAGCAAGTTCTGCCCCGTCTGCATTTAAAAATCGACCATTTTCTAATTTCAGCTTGGATTTTTTTCCTTTTTTGATTATTTTTCCAATTTTTCTTATTTTTAATTGGGTATTTTCTATGGCGAGACTATTTATATGTTTTATTTTCTGTTTGGGAGTATTTTTAGTTTGTTTGTGTTTAGAGATTGTATCTCTGGTTTCTAGCGTAAGGAGTGTTGTATCCTTTTTCATTTGCAAGTGATGTGTATGTAGCTTGTATATGAGTAGGTGGTGAATCTCCTAGACATCCGTACTACTCCATTGTGTCGTCCATCTCATTGTTTTCAGCCAAGACAGCCTTCAAATGTTATTTATCCCCCTCCAAATATCATCAATCCTCCCTATCAAATCTGCTTCCTAAACACCTTCTTTGAGCCCTAAAACGGTATCACACATATTCATTTTTTAAGGCTCAATAAACATTTCAAAGATATAATGTGAAGAACTCAGCAATACTGCAAACATGATGCGTATAAAAAATACCTGCTGTTCTTTTTCATCATTGCTTCTTGATGATAGTGGCAGTAGCTTTATGCATTGGGTACTCCTTAATGATTTTTTGCAGGAAATTTTGGTCGACCGTGCAGTGCATGCTGCTATTAGTCATTCTTTAACTTTCCATGATAAGGAACCTGAGAAGCCTTCTTTGGTAAAGAATGATTTTTCACAAGCAATGCATGGCTTTGTTCCAGTTGCCATGCGTGGGCTAACAAGAGCTGGTTTTGATGGTGGTCGCAATGGGTGGGATGATATTGGTGGACTTAGCCATGTCCGAAATGCCATTCAAGAGGTATCTAAATCTTATCACCCTTTCTATCCTTATTGAATTCCATATGGTAAATATATTTTAGAGAAGCAGATCATAACTGATGAGTAATTTTTTGTGCTGTCGTTTTTTTTTGGATTTTTATGGAAACCTAAATTTTGAATTTTGTCAGCAAGTAGTAAATAATTTTTAACCATTGGAAAATAGATGTCTTGAATGAAATTCATATTCAGGATTTCAGAAAATCTTGGAAGTGCTTATTTATTTTTTTATTTTTATTTTTTGAAGTTCTCCATCCTCATCGCCATGTTGTTTACTTCAAGTTTCCAAGCTCTCTTTTGTTTTATGAGTGCTTTCTAAGCAAAAGTGCAACGAAGAGGAAAGTAAGAGTAAATTTATTATAAGAACTTTGTTTCATTAGTTTAATTGTTTTGGATGCATTTGCACATATGGGAGAGGAATGAATAAGACAGAGGAGGCAAGTAGCATGTTTTTGGTGGCCTAATTTTTCTCTTAAGCCAACAATGATTTAAGCATCATCATCATTGTCTTTATCTTAACTATTTGGAGTCGGCTTTCATTCATTTTTGTTGAGTGCCGCCATTTAACTTTTTGCATATCATTTTAATATTTTCTATTTTTTTAACCTTTAGCAGGCTTCTTTTTGCCCAATATTTTACACTAATTTTATCTACTTTTCTAATGGCACATTTTACATCTTAAATTGCACATGTTAAAACTATTTTAGTCCAGTTTCAATTACCTTGTTTTCAATAATTCACTCCAATCTTTCCTCAAATATAATCATTGTTTAATTCATCTTTCCTTGTAAGCAAATCAGATAAATATCACATATTAGCCTTGTGCACTCTTTTCTAAATTGATTTAGAGACCACATTTTTTACACCAGATGAACCTGTGATTTGTCGGTTTTTGCTTGGAACTTTCTGTAAGAATTTAGTGATTTGGGAATCTGTTAAGTGCCTTTTGTAAACTACTTTTTTGGACTTTTAAACTTTGATAAGGTCATTGCATCTCATAATATATATCCTGGAATAAATGTATCAAGAAAAGATTAAGTATGACTTTCATTGAGTGGAGTATGCTTGATGATATATGTTATAGTTGTTTTATATGCAAAAGAAATATAAATTATTGGAACCTCATTGCTTACCTCAATAGGGAACAATGTAGAAAAAAGATTCATGTAGCTGGCCCCACTTAGTGGGATAAAGACTTGTTGTTGTTGGAACCTCATTGCTCACAAACTTACAACGGCCAAGTATAACCAACTTCAAACCAGCCACACGACAGAATATATAGAAAAAGTACTATAAATTCGGGAAGTAGCATGTTATTTTATGGATAGTCAGGGCATGGTTCCACATGTAATTTCCTTATGCAAACCCCCCAGTCCAATCTATAGGTGCTATTGATGTACTTTGCGGCAAAAAGTTCATGACTTATGCTATCATTAGTTTTTTAATAATCGGATATGTTTGTAACAAATATCTTATTTATTTGAAGCTATAAATTGTGAATTTTAATAATTTCTATTTCTGTCTGCAATATTTAACTCATCTTAATTTTGGATGGCAGATTGTTGAATTGCCTTCCAAGTTCCCAAGTATCTTTGCTCATTCACCTTTGAGGATGAGATCAAATGTGCTATTGTATGGGCCTCCTGGTTGTGGAAAAACACACATTATAGGTGCTGCGGCAGTTGCTTGCTCTCTTAGATTTATCTCTATTAAGGGGCCTGAGCTACTCAACAAATACATTGGTGCTTCGGAGCAAGCGGTAAGTTAGCTGAATATTTCTTCTTCTGCAGCAATGTAACTCTATGCTAAATCCTCTTGTAATGTCTTCAGTTCTAGGTAGAAAAGTAAGCTATAAATTAAAGCAAAAAAATGTTGATAAATTAATGCAAAATAATGGTTGTACGTGATAGTTTATTGGGTCACTTCTCTGTTTTGCTCAGAGATTTTATAATGTATAATTTATGATTGTATTAATTATTGTGGGAAACATAATAAGATATACAATGAAGTTTTAAGAGAGCGCAATGGAGAAAAAGCTTGAAAATATTTTGTTGATATTAGCATTTCAATTTGGTTTGTGCTAGGATGGTCTTCCATGAAAAGGATCCTTGTGCCACCAAAATGAATAAAAAAGTATGCAAAGAAAATAAATGATATTTATATGTTTTTTTATTAATTTATAGAAGCGCATGATATATGGTATTGGGAAAATTGATTTGGGGCATCAAGGAAAGTGTGTTAAAAGGTTATTATTAAGTGTTTAAAGATATGTATGATGGGGGCATCGACTAGTGTTAGAAGTAGTTATTTTGGTTTTGATCTCTATTTTGAAATCACAATTTGCTATCTTGGCTTAGGTTTGTTAACTTTCTTGTAAGGGGGTCGTTTTCAATGTCTCTAGGAGTGCTTGAGGCCCTGCACTTCACCCTCTGTGTCGATAGACCCTATGTGTCATCAGGAGGCCACAAAATGGATTTGATAGCGAATTTTATATGTTTTGTTGGTTTCTGCCCATGGATGGGCATGCATGATGACACACATGCCCATATATTACCACACATGGTGACACACATTCTTGTGCATAAGTGGGGCCCATCAAACAAAAGAAGAAGGTACCTTTTTTTTTCTGCATTATCTATACTCTGATTGCATGCCCAAACATTTCCTATAATGAAGAGGTGAAGGAAAAGAAGTGTTTTAGAAAATTTTGAAAATCTTGCAGTTAAATTTTAGAAAGATGTACTTTGGCTAGTGCGATGTTTGTTATATTGTGGTGATACTCCTCATTTTTTCATTGCCTAATTCATTGGCTTCTGAGGATATGCTTATTGTTCGCATTTATAGTCAAGATTGGTTGGAACTAGTCATACATGCCTTTCTTATTATGTTGATGTGGTCATCTCATGCTATTACTATGCTGGTACTAGGTTGTGATTATCTCTTGACTATGTATGTTCACCTTTCCTGTTACAGGTTAGATGAACTAAGAAATTATGTCTGTCTTGAGTAGTTTGGATCTCAAAAAAACCTATTGCCAACTTTTCGGGGGTGCATACGATGACAATAATCTCATTATTTATGTTGTATTGCCTATGTTTTCCATTCTTGGGGGGTGTTTGGCTGCAAGTCAGATTTAAGTTAAATAAGATTTAATAAATATGGTAAATCCGGATTTATCAAATCTAAACATTACTAAACTCGAAATAATGTTTGGTTCAATTAAGATTAGATCCAACTAAATTCATTTGATGTGTTTGGGATAAATCTATCTAAGCTATTTTTTTCCCAAGCTAAATCCGTTAAATTGAACTAATAAATAGATTTACTAAATTCAAATTTCATAAAAAAAATGAGCAAAAATTGGATTTAACTTAACGATGGATTTAACTAACTTATTTATGTTGCTTGGTGGATTTACGTTAAATCCTTACTTAAATCCCGTTAAAATTATCCTACCCACCCCCTTGATGTGGGTAGGATAAACACAAAATATCCTAGGTTGCCTTATGCAATAATGCTTTCTTCTTTTTTTGGTGCTGGTGAGAAATGCTCAACTTGCTTCTTGCTAGCCCTTTTGAGGCTCCACATTGCAGTGCATTGTGGAAGCTGTCACTAAGACGATTACTGATTGACATGGACATCAACATAAACAAACTAATGAACCGAACTATAAAACAAATGCTTAAGAATGCATAAATTAAGCAAAAATTGAAGAAAATATGCATGAAGAAATTGAAGACTTTTAAATAATCTTTGTTGTTGTTGAAAAACCCTAAGATGAAACGAATGGAGTTATAGGCAAGCTAAAATGAGTATTAACTGTATAAATATTGTAATATTTTAATGATTACGAATATAATTTGGTCGAACTAATTTTTATGACTTAACTTGCTGCAAGTTTGCATTACTAATGTTGCAAGTATACACTGGAAATACTAGTTACACTCTAAAAAGAACATATAAGACTTTAAGGAATATCTTAGCTCAAGATTGCAAAACCATCTCATGAATACTGTAATTCAAGAAATTAATCAAGTTAAAAATGTTAGTCTAGCTAGAAAAAGTCAACACTGGAGCTAACAATTAGACATGTGTTTTATTTTTTACTTTTTTTTAATCATATTTCAGGTATGAAAGTTGTTAAAATAGCTAATAAACTCAACACAAGAGGATCAAGTAAAATTAAAATCAACTAAGAAACTAATTCAAACTTCATAATAAACCTTTATATTTTAAATTGGAAAATTGCAAGTAAATTAATTTGCATTAATTAATTAAATTTAAACTAATCTTTTTTTATATATATCATATTGCACGGTCATTATTATTTCATAGTGTTGTTGGCATCAATTTTTGATGTCACGAGTGTAGGGTATCCACCCGCATGACACATGATAGTTTACGGTCTGTCCGTGACGTCCGATAGTTCAGACACTGACCCGAGAACTTTTTGACACGTATTGAGGGGCACGAAGTCAGGGTCATTTTGCTAGGCTATGACTTTCTCTTAGGTAAAGGCCGATCGGCATTTGACATGTCGGACGACTCCGACCGGGGCGAAAAATATTATGGGGCGAGTCACGCACAATTTTTGGCTCTAATTAGCCCGATTGCTTGACGATGTGGTCCAGATGACCCTGGATGATGAAACGGACCCCGCCAGCGTATCCAGAATGTCGATTTCACTTACGGTGGATGTTTGCTTTGCTACGGCTTCTCGGGCGGGGTAAAGAATGATTAAATTATAATTTTGGGCACGATCGTAAAAAAGAAGACCCAAACGACCCCGAATGACAAAACGGACTGTGCCAATGCGTCCGGAACGTCGTTTTTAGCCAGGAAGGACATCCATTTTGCTGCGAGGACGTGTACGAGCTAAAAATGCACCAAGGATAATAATAATAATAATATTATTATTATTATATAATATTATAATATTATATTATATTATCCTATATATAAAAAAAACCTACGCATCTCCTCCCTCTCCCGAATCGCACGCAGCCGCCACCCCCAGTTCGCGAACCCTAGCTCCGGATCTTCTCCCTCGTGCTCCTGCCGCCGACTGCAGCCCTTGCCGCCGGCCTCTTCGTCATCGGTCAGACGCCGCCACCCTCCAGCGCCGCCTGCGTCGTTTTCTCGCGAGGAGGGACCACGACCGTGGAATCTAGCCGTTATCCTCCTCGCCGGGGCGGTTCAACGCCGCCACCTCCCTCTTCCTTCTTCTTCTTCTCTTCTTGGCTACAAGCAGATCTGCTTGCCCCTCTTCCAACTCCGAAGCCGAGATCCGGTCATTCGCCGGACCTCTTCCTCACCCATCTTTTTGCCTCGCCGACATCGTATCTACGCCAGAGAAAATCTGCGAGGAGAACGTCAGATTTTAGACTCTCTTCCGCGTTTCTTTCACTCCTGGTGCGCACAGCCGACGAGCTAACTCCTCCACATTGCCATCCCACTTTCCCGGCGACCAGACATTTCACCGGAGCACCTTGATGTCGCTGGGCAGCGATGGTACTTCGCCTTGGGGAGGCGTGGACGTCTTTTTCGTTGCGAGGAAAGCTTCTCCTCTTTCACCGTCGTCAAGCGATCATCTCTGCGAAGGTACCTTTTTTTGAGGTCGCATATTTTATATGCCAAAATTATTTATTTTTGGTACTTTGCATACCTCTTGCCCTCACTGCCTCCTATATCTTTTTGTTGTCTATCAAGACTAAAATGTTTCATTGCACGTTCTACGAGGCACACTGGAGCATGGATCGGCCGTCGACGAGTTTGAAGCAAGCAAAGAGAACGCGTCCGCAATCGAGCCGTCATGGTGGTGAGATTTCCTCCCTCCTAGCCAGCCTTAGGAATAATGGAGTCTAGGCGTGTGGGTCCGATCGCCTCACGGGGTGCGGGCTCCGGCGTGGGTCGGCGTGACGACGTGTCTGCATGATGAATCGCTGGATTTTCTAGAACCAGCCTTTAGGTTAGGACTTCCTGTGCGTGGCCAAATACCCCTCTGTAGAGCCGAGTGTCTCCCTTTGTTGTGAGCTTTAACACAAGTCCCGATGGGCGCTCCCTTTGCTTTGGATTCCTCAGCTTTACTTGGAGAAGTTGGGAGGTCGGACTTGGCAAAGCGAGATAAGCTTTGTAGCTGGCTCGCTTTGCAAAGTGTGGAGGAGTTCGCAAAAATAGGAAAAGCTTTGTAGCTATCCTATTTTGCGACGTTGTGGAGAGTTTCCACCTCGGAGATCCTGGGAGAAACTCCCCACATGTCCTCATCGAAGCAAGAGGCGACAACGATCGTTAGTACGAGCATTGCTCGCTATCATATGTGATCATTTGCACCTCACTGTTTGCATGTGCATGTCCTGCATATTACATATTGTATGTCACATATCGCATCGACACTTGCACTTTGCACCTTGCATTTGCACGTTGCACTTACACTTGCACCTTGTGTCTCGCATTTGCACTTGCAATAACACCACTTGTGCCTAGATCGGTCGTCTCGGACCTGTCAACACCATTTGTGCCTCGGTCAATCATCCCGAATCGGTCGACTAATCACTTTGGTTCGACCAGCCATCACGGCCCGGTCAACCGATCACCTGCATTTTTGTCTGCTTTTGCATTATATCACATGTTTGCCTACTTGCATGTTGCACCATATGTGTTTGCATCTGCATTTGCATGATGCTCCACAGTGAGAATCACCACAGTCTCCGAGTCACTGCCGCCTCAGTACATCTTTCTTCGGGCCACTACCTCCACGATACGCCCATTCTTTTTGGTCACTGCCGCCTCGACACACCTTCAGGCCGTTGCCTCTACGGCACGCCTACTCTTCGGGTCACTGCCACTACGACACACTCATTTTTTCGAGCCGCTGCCTCCATGGCATGCCCATCTTTTCTTGAGTCACTGCCTCACGGTACACTCATCACTTCTGTCACATGACTGATTGCATTTGCATTTACATGTTTGCATGGATAGCGAGTCAGACTCGTTAGGAGAGTGACCCCGTGTTGGTCGCGATGCCTTAACGAGCATTGCTTGTTGGGTTGATCCCGATGAGCAATGCGAGTTATGTCATCGGGATTGACACGAGTATGACTGTGCTAAAGATCTAATAGATCTAACTCGTGTCACTACTCTTCATGACATCCTTTAGATCCTTCGGATCTTTAGGATGGGGCCGATATGACGACCCCGTCAAAGTCATACTATCCCCAGACCTACCCCACACTTAGATACTATGTTGACGCACTTTTTGTTAGATGGTGTGCTAGGTTAGATGGTGTGCTTAGATGGTGTGCTAGGTTAGGATTTAGGGTGCTTAGGTAGTCTTTTTAATGTCTGGCTATTGTTCTTTGCTGGATTGATTGCCCCAGTCAGGTATCTTTCTTTTGCATTATGTTTGTGGTGTGATTGCATGCTGCATATGTATGGTAATGTGTTATGAGTTATGTCGTTTTTCTGCAGGGAGTCATGCCTATTTATATGCACACACAAGTACCGCTATGGGGGGAATAAATAATGATTTCTAATGATTTCCGACCCTTTTGCTTGCATGTGCTATTAGCTCCCCCACTTTTAAGGCATGACTCATGATACGTTATTTGCATGTGAGCTTTTCCACTGACACTTGTTTTCATGCAGAATTGAGCCTTTTTCTTTTCTCTATGTACTTTTAGAGTCTAAGAGAGTCCTGTAGCAGAAGTAAGATATGGGCACGAGTTTCGAGACGTTTAGCGCGGGAACTACGTGGAGGGGACCATGAGCAGATGCTCGTGCCCCGTATCTTAATTCTGCATTTTATATTGATGTATAGAATTAGGACCAGACATGTATATGCGGAGTCCGACCGCCCTTTTCTTTTCTGGGATATGTTGCCGACCCAGCGGCGCCGGTCTGTTTATTATTTTGATTTGACTTGTTTTGCTTTTTGCATCATATTGCATGCCTGCATTTGCATGTTTTTCCTTGTTTCTTTCTGTGGTTTATCTGAGATTTCACGATATAATCTAGGCTCATTAAGAACTCTAAAATTATAATTTTCTACAAAATCTTAAATAAAATATTCAAGATAATTAAACTTTAGGATTAAAATATTCAGGATTTAAAAACTTTCACATTTACTTTCCTGCATATGTTAATAGGGCCTCCACAATACTTAAGGATCACTCTAGATAACTGCATCATATTTGCATGTCCCGAGGAGTCCCCGTACTTCTATAACTTGACTGGCCCAACCAACATATCTCTTTATAGGTGGTTGTCTAGTGCGCTTAGGGCTCCCTGACCCAGACACTGCCCCAGACAGGGTGTAGGTCCTTTTGTTTGGAGCGTTTTCCAGCTTTGTAGCTGAACCTCAATTTTCTTTTTCTTCCTGAGGCATCAGGCATCCTTGCCACTTTATTTGACAAGTGTGAGTCCCACCTGTTGAGTTCCACCTCGTAGGTCATAGGACTAGGGTTTTACTTCGTTTGACCTTAGGGCTACCGAGGTTCCCTTGGATGACGCAATTCACGGATTGCTGACTGGGGATCTCAGGACGTGTTGGGTCGACTACCTTCACGACCAGGTAGACTTAGGGTCCTAATAGTTGGGGATGACGGGTCCGTGGTACTCCGACCCAGTTACCTCTACCTGTTAGGATCACTCTACATTCCTTTTTATTGAGCCCCTTTGAGCCCTGTCGCTCCTTGACTTCGTTGATATCATTTTGACGACCCGATGCCGATGAGCTGCCGCCCATTTGGGATACGACGATTTGTCCCCTGCTCTTATGACCCGGACGTGCTTTGACGTGTTTGGATATCCCCGTCAAAATGATTTAGGTTGTTCAGTGGGCCCCGTGGTTTGATGAGCCGCTACCCATTTCAGGATGTGAGAGACTGACTCTCTGTCCGATTGCTTAGCGCGAGCTTTGAAGCATCGGGATTGTTCCCGCACGGAATAACTTTTTTTTGAGTACTTATTGCCCAGGTTCACGACAATCCAAACGAAACTTCTTTTATCGAGTTTTATCGAGAGTATTCTTGGAGTATTCTTGGGTACCCCCTAAGATATAATTAACCAAGTGGGATACGTCCCCTTGGGAGTGCTCTTGACCCCAGAACATGCACTACACTTGAATCTTTGGTTATGGGTAGTCTACATAGGTATTTTTTCGTGGATATCGGTTTAATGTGCTTTCGCCCGATCTTGTTTGGACAGACACTCTTAACCTATCTTTGCGAGGTTTACCGCACGTAGGCTCTCCACGTTTTGTGTTTTCTCTTGTTTGTCGTTTTGTCGTATGCCCCTTCTTATTCGATTCATCTCCTCTTCGAATCACATACATGATTTGGGAGGGAGATTTATTCGAATGGAGGAAGTATACGACGATCGACAAGCTGGCGAGTCCTTCTAAAATAAAAGAGAGAAAAACGAACGAAAAACAAGTGTTAATCTTCAAATTATATTTTCTTGATTAGATGAATTTAAAATTTAAATTGACCATACTGTATGATGCACGTTGTATTTACGATATTTTTTCTAAATTAATTGATTAATCGGTTGTATTTAAGGACTAATGAATACAACTCAAATTGAATAGATCATATTTGATGAGGATCACACTATAAGATCAATCAATATTTTTTAATAGAATTAGTGCTTTTGGCCGATGCCCTTAATATAGGACTCTTTGTTCTTCCATCAACAATTTTTAAAATGTTAGTTTTTTTTTGTTAAATTTGTGACTAGAATAATATTTTATTACTGATAGGAGGGGTATTTATACCTAATTACAATAGACTTAACAAATGAAAGAAATAAAACAGAAGAAAATAAATAAAAGAAATATAACAGAATAAAACAAATATAAAATGCATAATGAGGAAATAAAAGCTAATCATAAATAAAGACTACTAGGGATTACTGTTATAAATTTAATGCTCCTCCTCAAGTTGAAGCAAAGATATTAGTCATGTTCAACTTGGATTTGAAGTCATTGAACAAAGGACAAGGTAGATTCTTGGTGAGGATATCCGCTACTTGACCACTGAAAGTTATAAGAGACACAAATAATCCCAAACTCCATCTTTTCCTTAATGAAGTATCTATCAATCTTCAGATGTTTGGTACAATCATGTTGGACTGCTGTTGACAAGCTTATTATAACAGAATAGTTGCAGGGGGACAAAGGTTGGCATATGAAGTTCGCGGAACATGATGCGTAACCAGAGAGCTTCACATATCCCCAATTCCATAGACCGAAATCTAGCTTCAGCACTGCTCTGGGCAACCACAGACTGTTTCTTGCTTTTCCACATGACAAAATTTCTTCATACAAATGAGCAATAACCTGAGGTGGACCATTGATCATGAACCAACCCAAGCCCAATTAACATGTGTATAAATCACAATAAACTGAGAAGTGTGATCAGAGAAGAACAAACCTGAACTCAGTGTACCTTTAAAATAGTGGAGAATCCAGTAGATTAATTTTAAGACTATATCACATTTTTTTAAGGCATCATTGCAGTAAGTTTGCCTAAAACTGAGCCTATTAGAAGTTGTTGATAAATGTGGAACTTATGTTAGGTTTTTAAAAAATAAGGGCTTTGGGGTTATATTTAATGAATTTGAGCTACAGTTTCTACCGATACTCACTTTCTGTTAGCCACTGTTTTCTTTAATAATTCTATAATTTGATGATGCGAAATTTTTACCCAAAAATGAGGCACTTTAAAGTGTTTTTAAAATGTACTTTCATAATAAGAAAATGATATGAGTACAACAAATGCAATTATCTAGAATTTAAATTCATCCCTAGGTCATAAGTTCTGTGCCTTGAAAGCCTTGCTTTGGCACCTCTTTAGTTCCTTTAAGCTACTAATTCTTATAGAGACCGCTCCTCCTGAATGACATGTTCATAAGTTATGCCTGAGTTTCCTAAATGATATTGCAGGAATTATCTTATGCTACTTTTCACTCTTAGAACTTAGATTTTAAAAAAAACATCCTTCCCATTTCAGGTTCGTGATTTGTTCTCAAAAGCGGCTGCTGCAGCACCTTGCCTTCTTTTTTTTGATGAGTTTGACTCTATTGCACCAAAGAGGGGCCATGACAACACAGGGGTTACTGATCGTGTTGTTAATCAGGTCAATTAAAGATTGTAGCTCGTCTCTGTTTCACAATTTTTTCTGTACGCTACCAGTGGGTTTTAGATAGGATTTAGTACTAAATTCTGTTTTGTATCTTTTAAATTTTGTTTTTTTTTGCTGCCAAAACTTTTCTTTATGACGGTTATGCAGCTGCTGACCGAGTTAGATGGAGTGGAAGCATTAACGGGAGTTTTTGTTTTTGCTGCTACTAGGTAAGTTTTGTAATATCCGCAAACATCGAGTAAAGTGTCAATATAGGCCTCTGACTGTATATATGGGGTCATCTCTCTAGAGTTTACAAGGGTGCCAAAATAGTCTACAAATTTCTTAAATCGAGGTTGAAATAGTACTCCATGGGGACTATTTCAACTCATATTAAAAGAGTTTGGGGATTAAATTGACACTTTTATAAACTCCGGGACTAAATCGGGAGACTATTTTGACACTTTCTTGATAAACATTTAAGTGTATCTTCAGAAGCTAATGCTGGGGATCTCTGTGCCAGTGTTTTATTACTTCATTACTACCAAGTCATTTCTATATTTGCTTTACTTGACATTAAAATTATATGACAGATGTTACTGAATTGCCAGAGTCCTATTTATCTCATAAACTTATATCTGGTTTGATTTTTTTTCCTATAATATATTATGACCCATCAAAACTTTATGCAATTTGTTACAGTTATAACATATTTGAAATTATGATTGATGTTTACAACTACTTGTTCAAAACCCAAATGCTTGTCTGTTGCATGTTTTCTAATGTTTTTTTTTTCACAAGTGAGATGTTTAGTTTAATAATGTTAAGAGAATCAACTAAATGTATTCATAAATATGTTGGACTTTATTCAGTTCCTGGCAAAATAAATTTATGAAAGCAATTACTTGAATTGTTTATCAGCAAAACAAATTTTACTAACAATGTTTCTATTAAAACGCTTCAACTATGATATTTAACTCTAGAATTTTTTTGCTTGGATCAACCTTGAATTTCTTGCATTCCTCAATGAAGAGATGGGAGGTAATGAAGCATCGTGTAGGCTGCTATTTTGTTCGAGTCGCTTTGATGAGTCTGTCTAGAGTGAGGGAGGGGATTGCTTTTATGTTCTGGATGGCTATCCTTTCTCAAGGTTTTTCCAACCTTTGGAACTGCGTCATGGTGATTTCATATGTTTTATGTTACCAAAGTTGCTAATACTTAATTTATAAGTTCCAGAGATATTGCCCTTTATTTGTCAGCAATCCTTAAAATTTTCTTGTTATGGATTTAGGACCAACAACAACAACAACCTATTTTTGGGAATGAGGCTCTAGGAGACATTGAGAGCAGTGTTTGTTGAAGAGACAATTTTGAAATATAAAATTAGTTGGAGCAGGCTTGCAAAACCTGGAGTAAATGTTGCATCAATAAGGTTCACAAAAAATATAATTATTATTACTGAATTCAAAAGGGTACAAACGAGACTCTTGCGACATGAAATCATGACAACAAACAACAACACAAGCATAAAGACACAATACATAGACTCCAATAAGGGTGACGGTAGCAAGTGTGGATCTTCGCGACAGCAAGGAGAGGGAACTAGGGTGTTGATGTGGCTGGTAACAACAGGACAAACGCAAGAAGTGTTGAACAACAACAATGAATGAAGATGGTAGCAAGGTCAAGTGGTTTGCGACAATTGGAAGCGAGGCTAGGGGTGTTGCAAAAGGATAAATGTCTCATAGTGGTCAAGCAATAGCCGGAGCACTACCAGGACCTTTGGAGACGGTCATCACCTCAGACGAGTTATAGTCATAGCACCTTCTCGCTGTCGGTTAAAACCCCTGGAGGGGAAGAACACCTCAAAGGCAGTAACTGCAATCAGTAATCATCCAAAAACCTCCTCCTCTAACTTCAAAAAACAACACCTATATAAAGAGGAGATTAGTAGTTAAAATAGGTAAAGAGTAGGGTAGAAAAGAGATATAATAGGAAGGGAGAGGAATAGGAAAGAAGTAGAGAAGGAAAATCATTATAATGGGAAAGCATCAGGAAAGGAAATAAAATAAATTAAATAGAAAATGGGGGGCCACAATACTGTAGTAGCTATAGTAACACGTTTGGGGTGTTGTAGCTGCTACAGTACCGTTGGCGTTAAGCTTTCGCATCAATCTCCCGGGGTTGGTGAGCTTCGACTTCATCTATTGAAGCTTTTAGGGCAGAAAAATTTTGGTAGGAGGTTGCTTGTTGGAGGTGGATGCTAGGGAACCCTAGGATAGAACTAGGGTTGGGCTAGCTCTGATACCCAATGATACTGGAGGAAAAAGACCCAATCCACCACGAAAAAATACAATTATTATTTTAAATTCAAAATAGTACAAACAAGACTCTTGTGACTTGAAATCACGACAACAAACAACAACACAAGCATAAATACACAACACAGAGACTCTAATAACGGTGATGGTAGCAGGTGGGGATGTTGGCGGTAGCATGGAGAGGTAACAAGGGTCTCGGCGTGGATGGCAGCAGCAGGGCAGCTGTAGGAAGCATTGAACAACAACAAGGAATGATGATGGAAGCAAGGTTGAGTGGTTTGCGGTCGCTAGAAGCCGCTCCGGAGGGGGCTGCAGAAGGATAAATGTCTCGTCGGGGTCGAGTTATAGTTGGAGCACCACCCGGACCCTTGGAGACAGTCACCCCCTCGGACGAGTTACAACAAGAACATCTCTTCGCCGGATACAACCCCCAGAGGGGAAGAACGTCTCAAAAGGCAGTAGCTGCAATCAACAATTATCCAAATACCTCCTCCTTTAACCTCAGAAAATAACACCTATATAAAGAGTGGATTAGTAGATAAAATGGTAAGAGTATGATAGAAAAGAAATATAATAGGCAAAGATAGGAATAGGAAAGAAGTAGAGAAGGACATGAATTATAATGGAAAAGTATCAGGAAAGAAAGTGAATTAAATAGGAAAGGGGATTGCATTTACTATAGCAGCTACAGTAACACATCCATGGCACTGTATTTGCTACAGTATCGAGGGTGGTAAGCTCCTGTGTCGTGACTTAGTAATGGTTATGGACTATGATTGAAAATGGGCTGGCTAGTGATAATATGGTTTAAAGTTACGAAGACTTTAATTAATTTAAGTTATGAAGGAAGGAGCTTCATGTTGTGGATCTTATATTGTACTGATGTCCGTAAAAAGACAAAAGCTATTGAAATTGACCTTTTTGGTTTGGGAAAGAGAATTTAAGGTATGGTGGGAGTAGTTTCCATTGATGATGATATTATAGAAGAAAGAATTAAGGTGGTTTGAGGTTGTATATAATGGATAGAAAGGATCGAAAGATGCAGCCAAAGTGAGATGCAATAGAAATATGTGAATGGAATTAGAAGGAAAATGAATGTATAATATGGTTGAAATTGTATTGGATTTGTACAAACTATATTTAGTAACATGTGGAAACTCTTATTGAGAATGAGTGTAGATGAAGGGTAGCATAGAAGACAACCTAAATAGTTTAGATTAGATTGATGATGGTTTTGATTGAAAATTTATAATTTCCTTTAATATTTGTTGTAGAAAATATAATAAAGATTAATGAAACCAGAATTTGAAATGATACCTACAAATATTAAAGATTAGATGCTTTTATAATCATGGATTTTTTTTTTGTGGTTTGGTGCCCATGGGCTCACTCTTTTAGGATAAATCCTATTATTTATAACGATTTATAGCTCTTCTAATATCAGCCATCACTACTAAATTTATAAGGATTGCATATCCTTACAAAACAAAAACAAAGTTATCAATTAAAAAATCAGATTCTATCTTCTATCTTAAACCCGGCTCATAATTTGCAGCTAAAATCTCATTTGTTTTCACATCAACCTCCGCATTACACTTGCTAGAGGATGAATATAGATTGAGTGTGCCTTCACTATGATATGGAGGCCACAAATTAGATTCATAGAAAACAGCCTCTTTGTTAGGTACGTATTAAGGTTACATGCACCAACGCCTCTCTAGATCTTGCATAAATAGGGAAGCGCATGTAGAGATTACAGCTTTGCTTTGCTCTCTGTGCTAATATATTAAGGCTTTACGTAAAATCAATGGTGAAACTTCACACTTATCTATTTTTGGTTATGTTTTGTTTGGTGATTTTGCCTTGGGTATTATGCTTTTTTCTCTGTTTGTCTGCTACCTTCAAGTATGCTGCTGTCATGTGATTTTCACTAACAATACCGTGTCACCCAAATTAGTCGACCAGACTTGCTTGATGCTGCACTTTTACGTCCCGGAAGACTTGATCGTCTTCTTTTTTGTGATTTTCCATCATGGTCGGAGCGCTTGGACATTCTCAGAGTACTTTCAAGGAAGGTTTGCCTTTCAATTTTTTTTAGTCACCATATTTGACTATTGGTTGATTAAACTATTTATATATCCTATTTTTTGTTTAATTTATATGAATGATAGAACAACTTAATGTTCTTCCCAACTTTTGGTGTCTCAGCTTCCTTTGTCTGCTGATGTCAATTTGGAAGTTATAGCATCTATGACTGAAGGGTTTAGCGGGGCTGATCTCCAAGCTCTTCTGTCAGACGCTCAACTTGCTTCAGTTCACGAGCTTTTGGACAGGGAAGCGAGTGGTAAACGGGAAAAAAATCCTATTATTGATGATGAGCTTCTGAAATCTGTTGCTTCAAAGGCAAGACCTTCAGTTTCAGAAGCTGAGAAGAGGAGACTGTTTGGGATTTATAGCCAATTCCTGGACTCAAAGAAGTCTGTGGCTGCTCAGGTTTTTCTTTTACCTTCTACACATTTTCACCCCCAAACTTCTATGCTATTTTCATGCTCTTATTTATGTTTCTGCTGGATCTTAGTTCCTCTTCCAATTTTTAATCATCTGCCAAAATGTCCTTAAGCAACAATAATCACTGTTATGGCATAAGAGTTGAAATTAATTGTCCCAATTGAGCATTATTTGTTTAGTGATGTTTAAAGATGATATGTAAACTGATTCTAAAGATAATCAGGCATGTTTACCATTGAGCAGCGTAATGTTCATTCAGGGAAGCATGTGTTGCAGAATCTTATTAGTTGAATAGTGTAACGATAGTTTACATGTTCAAATATATTAAAAATACTTGCAATAAGAGTGTACTCGAAGATAACCTAATGCTAATTTGGTGGTTTAGTGAAAAAAACTGTTTTTAATCATTGATGGGTAAAGGATCAACTAAATCATTTTGCGGAGAATAAAAAACATGTGCTGGTTATATTAGATGGGCAAGCTGGATTTTGAATAGAGTTTGATGAAGGTTAGTGTTCTAGGCAGAAACCACGTGACACCCAATTTGAATTTGACTTTAACTTCTCGAACTGGATTCTAAAGGTTACTATCTTCTCCCTGTGAGCTCCCAAAAATTGCTCCCTAGCTTCCTCGAACGTGATTGAGATTGATTTTTCATGAGGTTCTTGTTCAAATTTTGAGTAGACTCATGAGATTGTAGATAAGATGGTACCCAAAATTTTTGCCTTCATTTTGTGAGAACTTTAGAGCAGAGGTTTGACGTTTTCTATAGGCGAAGCGAAACTTCTATGACTAATTATCTCTCCATATAATGAGAGAACGCTTTTGATTGAGGTTTGTCATTTGGACGCAAATTGCTTATGGTATAGTAGCAATGTACTAATATTTTTTATTATGAGCTTAATAGTGGAACCCTATTGTTCCATCATCTTAGGTTGTAATGGATCCGGATCCACTAGATCAAAGAAGATAGTCGACCTAGCTTAGCTGTAGAATCCTTATTCACAACCATGAGTTGCTTCGCCCAAAAGAATTTTGTAGACCTGAGGTGGATGTTTATTTGAGGGGATAAATTTTGGTCAATTTTAGCTTATGGAGGGCTTTGTGCCTTATTAGGTATACTTTATGATTCATAACTAAAGGGATAAAAATTTATTGAGGCAAAACAAGCTATAGTAGTAATATAATGGAACACTTTAGCTAAATCACATGGTCAATTGGCATGGCTGTAACCACTTCATTTAAGGGGACATTGACTCAATTTTAGCTTATAGAGGTTCGTCTTTATTAGGTGTTATATGTAGAGTCTAAATTGTGGAGTTCGGAGGAAATCCAACACTGGGAATGACGTCTGGAAGCGACGCTTGAAGTTGCACCCCAATTCCTGGATTGTTTCCCCAGTGCTTGGAGTGGCGCCTCGAAGCCAGTGGGAGCGCCCAGGCCCCCAACACCATGCTTTTGGGACAAAGCCTTTGGAATTGTGACCCCCAAGAGGGGTGCATCTGTGTTTGGATCATTCCCCGAACCAGAGCGCCTGGAAACCCAATGCCCTGGGGTGTATGTAACCAATTTTCTACAGTTTAGTGTTTAAATTTCATTTTTGCTACTAGAATGCAAGTGTCTCTTTCGAACGCTTTGGATTTCACGATTTTCTTTGGTGTTGGAGAGAGGAAAGAAGCGTCCTTAAGTTCAAAACTTATAGAGAAGTTTGAGTGCTATATAATCTGTACATTTTTTCTCATTTCTTCATAGTGAATTTCTTGGTATGACCTAGCTTCAGGGCTTTTTCCCATTTTTGGATTTTTTCATGTTAAATTTGTGTTGTGTTTTTCCATCTTTTCTAATTTGTCTGCTTATGTTCAAAGTTTTGCTTCAGATCTCTCAAACGGTATTTATGCATTTCATCGTATACCTCCGGTCACAATAGTGGTATCAGAGTGGAGTTTTCTGAAGATCTTTGATTTGATTGGGAGCAATGATCGACGAAGCTTGGTACAAGTTGGAGAAGTTCAATGGTTCGAAGTTTATTTTTTGGAAAATATAAATTGAAGATTTAGGATGCATTTGGGGTAGCTTGTGTTTATCCAGATAAACCACTTATCTGGAAACGCGGGCTGCGGGGTTTGACCTGCGTTTCGTGTTTAGTGTAAAAAACCAACTGCATTTTCGGATAAGTTGCTCAAACACAGTTTTCAAAATGTGAGGCGACATTTTCAAAACTCCGCCGCAGCGGATAAGCTGCCCCAAACAAATCTTTATTGTATCAAAAGAAATTGTATTTGTCACTTGAAGTAATTACCTAGAAGCTGGAATTGATGACTCTAAAAAAATGTGAAGTGCTTGATCAAACAATATTAGGTTTGATCCATCTTTCACTTTCTTCATTTGGTATTTTCAACATTGTGAATGTGAACTATAGTTGATCTGATGGCTGCACTAATAAGAATGTTTGAGAAATGCTTTACTTCAAACAAAATCTTTCTAATGAAGAAATTATTCATTATGAAGATAGTGGATGGTAGTTTAATGATCGAGTATTTGAATAATTTCAACGCTGTGACTAATCAATTTTGCTTTGTTGGCATTAAGTTCGATTAAAAGAGGTCATGTCACCATTGCTTTTATCTTCATCTTTAGATAGTTGGATGGATACAACTCTTCAAGTAACATTAAGTTAATTTTTGATGACATGTGGGGTTAGTGCTGAATGAAAAAGTTCACAAAAACATGAGTGGTGAAACTTCAAAGTCTACTATGAAGGCTGAAAACAAAGAAAATAATCTATATTAAAACATAAGCATAAAAATATTCAATTCCTGGAGAGGAAAGTCCAGGTCAGGGAAAGGAAAAGGCAGAGGTGATTGCTAAAACTATGGGAAGAAATGCCCCTTATAAAAGTATTATAAAGCTTCTAAAAATATCAGTGGAGGTTTAGATAGAAAGCTCTCTACGAATGTCTCCAAAGATGAAATCAAATGTGACTCTTATTTTGTCCATAGATAGTACTCTATCATGGATGGTGGATTCATGTTTCTGTTTTCATGCTTGTCCAAACCTACACTCAAGTTGACAATGGCAAGGTATATTTGGGTGACAACAAGTCCGTAGTATTTTTTTTTGTTTTGGAAACCAGACTAGATTGGCCTTCGATTGGTTCAATCATGTACCAGTCATTCAACCGGTTCAGTCCAAGCTTTGAACCATTTTTGCATAAAACCAAGAGTGATCTGGCCTGAATTATGGCTGAACTAGAGAATCTGTGAATTGATTCAATTTTTAAAGGATATGTCAATTTAGATACCTTTTGATTTTGATCAAATGACCAAAAGTAATATATTTAAATTAAAAATAGAGAAAATGTCATTTCTTAAATTAATTATTTAAGAATATTGTTCAAATTTTTAAAAATTGTTGCCTTAAATTAAAATATTATTTGATGAATCAATAAAAATGATATTAATATATTATCATTCTATTATTTAAATTATATTAAAATAATTTAAATATTTATTACGGTATTATATTTAATACGTTATTTGTTTAAACCTCCGGTTCAACTCTGGCTGAACCTTTAAACCCTGAACCTCTTGTTCTTTCGGTTCGATGTTTGGTCCGACTTTCACAATCTTGGTATTTTTGGAAATGACAATATTAGTATCAGGTTTCCAAACAGATCATTATGGAAGCTTAATGATGTTAGACATGTTCCATGTTTGAAGCAAAATTTGATTTCTGTAAGTCAGCTAACAAGGTTAGGGTATGTGAGTTTCACAGTTGATTTGTGGAAGTTGTCCAAAGGAGTACTGATGATGATTCGAGGCAATATTAAAGACTTTTTTTATCTGATTCATTTGTGTTGCTTGAATAAAAGATAATGCAGGTCTGACACAATAGGTTTGGCCATATAGGTGAGAAAGGGAAGAAGTCCTTACTTTCTAAAAATAAGCTTCCTGGTATAAAATATATAGATTTAGATTGTTATGAAAATTATGTTTGTGACAGACAAACATATGGTACCCTCTATAAATATGAGTTAAAAATGAAGTCTAGGAAGCTGTAGATTTATATCAGACAGTGTGTACAAGAAGTGTTAGGTGGATCATTGTTGTTTTATTACACATTTTGATATTATTATATTGTGCTTCTTTTATATGTGAATGATATGCTGATTGCGGGAGCAGATATAGAGAAGATCAGAAACTTAAAGGAACAATTATCACGGAAGTTTGAAAAAAATGATTTATGTCCAACTGAAAAAATTTTCGGTATAAGAATCGGCAGAGATAGAAGTGCATGTATATTGAAGTTGTCTCAATCGGAATATATTTGAAGGCTTTATGCAGATTCAATATGAGTGAGAAAAATCACTTTACACCTCCTTAGATAGTCACTTTAAGCTAAGGAACAATCACCTATGTCTAAAGTATAGCAAACACAGATAAGAATAAATTCTTATGCTTCAACAGTTGGAAGTTTGATGTATGTGATAATATGTACAAAGCTATATATTGCACATGCAGTAGGAGAGGTCAATCGGTACATGAGTAATTCAAATAAATATCATTGGGAGACGATGAAGTGAATTTTTTGATACTTGAGTGGAACAATCAACGGATCAGTTTGTTTTGGAAGCGTAGGGATTGATTTTCCAGGACATGTTGATTCAAATCTCGCAGGAGATATCAATGATAGAAAAAGTACATGTTATATCTTCACTTTAAGGAACACAACATTGCGTTGGGTTCTAGATTACAAGAGATTGTTGTGCTGTCGACTATAGAAGTTAAGCATATTGTTATTCTTGAGGCTGCTAAGGAAATGTTTTAGCTAAAGAGCTTTATGACAGAACTGGGCAAGGATCAAGGGAATGGTAAGCTTTATCGTGACAATGTGTGTGCTCTTCATATAGCTAATAATACCAAATTTCATGCCAGGACGAAGTACATTCAACTAAGATATCACTTCATTCATTCACTGCTAGAAGGTGGTTTATTATCTTTGGAGAAAATGCACAACTTAAAATTCGACTCATATCTTGACTAAAGTTGTGAAGTCATGCTTGGCTTTAGTTTGAGTTTAGGAAGGTTGAGACCGAAGTTGAGGGACACTATGATACATTATTACTCTGAAGATGGTACAAATTTGAAGGCGCAAGATTGGTTGCAATCAATCTCTAAGTAGGTGATTGCTACATCTGGAGTCTGATTGTGGAGTTCAGAGGAAACCCAACACTTGGAATGGTGTCGGCAGTAGTGTCTGGAGTGACGCCTCGACACCTTGAGTGACATCCCTACGCCAATGGATGCACCTAGGCTCTCAACACCATGCTTTCAGGGCAGAGTCTTTGGAATTGCAGCACCCATGAGGGGCGCAGTTGTGCCCGAAACGTTCCCCAAATCAAAGTGCCCGGGGTGGCGCCTATAACCAAATTTCTATAGTTTAGTGCTTAAATTTAGTTTTTACTGTCAAAATGTAAGTGTTAATCTATTAGAATTGAATGAAAGTATGCATTCAATAGGATGCAATGGAGAAAGAGGATTCATGCAGTCGACCCCACTTAGTGGGATAAAGGCTTGCTATTGTTGTCAGAATGTAAGTGTTCATGTTGAATGCTTTGGATTTTGCAATTTTCTATTGTTTGAGAGGAGCATCAATAAGTTCCTAAGTTGTAGAGAGGCTTCATCGCGGTGTATGTAATATGTACATTTCCCATCATTGCTTCATAGTGAATTTCTTGGTGTGGTGTAGCTCAATGTTTTTTTTCTCCTTTTTGGGTTTTTCCACATTAAATATTGATGTTCTTAAGTTCTTATGTAATTTCTTATTTGTATGGTTCTGTTTAATGTTCTAATTCAAATCTCTCGGATGGTATTTTTGCATCTTAATTCAATTTCATTAAATGATCTTAATAAAACCCTAAATACCTTAATAAATTATTCGATTGCACTCTAATTCTCAAATGAGAGCTCTGTCCAGAACACACGAGTCAGCTACCTTCTCTTCCTTCAGTCTAGGCCTGGCCCAGCCCAGCCCAGCAAAACATGCACGCACACCTCCTTCTTTCTCCTTTACTACACGTTGCTTGACACGTACCTGCACGCACGAGTCTTATCCTCCTCTTCCTCTGCAAGCACACACACATGCAGAGTCTCTTCTTTATTGCTAGGGCTCGAGTTCTACTTCGCTTGCTCGCACTCGACTTCGCCTTCTCCTTCTCCATCTCCTTCATTCGGCTAGAGCACAACATCACCTCCTCCTATAGCTATGTAAAGCTTCGAAGCCTCTTTCAACCGCAATCGGTGACTGCTTTCCTTCCCTATCTTCCTTTTTTTCTGTCTTCTTTATTTTCTCAATCACCTACTCTCTCCCTCACTCTCTCGGTTTTGTTGGTTTGAAAAGGACACATATGGCTCTTAAGTCCCACTATAACGATGTTTAACCCACACTATTGATTTAGTTATTATTATTATTATTATTTTATTTATTTATTTAAAATTTCAGTTATTAAATCTTTGAGCCTATAATGAAGTTCCAAGAGAAATACTTGAAATATGTTGATATTGCTTATATTTAATTCATTAAAGATATGTATATTAGAATTGTTAACACTAGGAGGATGAGCCAAGTATTTTCCTATTTTAATTGGATACATTAGGGATTGACTTGAAGCAAAAATGAAAATTCATGACTAGAGGGAGTTCACGAAAAAAATTGAATTGTGAAGGTCAAGTTTAGCGTCGAAATGCATTCGTTTGAGTAAGATCTATAATTGAATACATGGAATGTATTTTAGTAGCAGTAGATCTAGTAAAGGGGCTGTAATATTTGGGCGATCAAGTCATTAAAAATAGTGAACGTTTTAGATATCTTAGGTATATTATTTAAAGTGATGGTGACATAGATGGGGATATTATTAGTAGAATTCAAGTTGGATGGTTAAAGTGGGGGAATGCATCAGGCCTATTTGTGTGATAGAAAAGTACCACTTAAAATTAATGAAAATTTTATAAGATGGTGGTGAGATGTTGTCGCTGAATGCTTGCATGTAAGAGAGAAGTATAAAATCAAGTATTGTTGAGATGAGAATGCTCAGGTGGATTAGTGGCTTTACACTTAGAGACAAAATGTGAGACAAATATATCCGTGAAAGGTTTGGACTAGCTCCAGTGGCAGACAAGATTAGAGAGAGTCGCCTTTATATGGTTTGGCCACATTAAACATCAACCGTTTGATGCCCAATTAGGAGAGATGTTTTAGATTTTATTTATGTTAAGAAAAATAGATGTAGCTCTAAATAAATTTGGGCATGTTGTATAAAAAATGTTATTAATTTATTATTGTCAAATGAAAATATGACACTCAATAGGATATAATGAAGAAAAATAATTCATGTAGTTGACGCTACTTAGTGGGATAAAGGCTTGTTGTGCTTGTAGTTATTGTTGTTGATTGTCTTCGAGCTTAATTTTAACATTCATTTAGCGAACTTTGCATGATTGGAATTAGGATGGTATATAACCCCTACTTAAAGAGTTTTATGGTCCTATAGGAGGATCTTTAATGATATTATCGAAGCATGAACATGGTTGCTTGAAACCCATCTTTGTATGATTTGTTAAGACTTGGCCCAAGGGCTAGAAATTATTAAGGCGGGAATGGTCGATCAGACTGACATATTAAATTTAAATTTCTATCACTAATTAATGAAATGATCATCCAAATAATTGAAAGAACCATTATTATAATAAAATTCAATTCAACTTAAATGTAAAGCAATTGTAAATATAAGCACTGTTCACTTATTTGTCCGCATTTCTGATAAAAAATTTTAATTTTCACTTATTTTCTATTAAAAGACTTTTGAAAATGTTGGTTTAAATTATGACTGAGTTATCAACAATTTAGTGTCTACTCATATTTCTAAAATTACAGTAACATAAAGGAATTGAAGAGATAACAACATGCATGATTTATAAACTTTTCTAATATAGTTTTGTTATAAACTTGCAAGATTTAACATCATATCATTAAAATTTATATGACTAAATAAGCTATATATTACATCTTATCACTCAAATATATATCTATATAAGTTTGTCATAAATCTCTATTTTATTCCATAAATACATCGTTCCTAAAAATTAATTAAATATTTGACATTTTATCACAATTTAACTATTAAGGTCCTTATTAAGTTTTTTCTTATTATAATTTTTAATAACATATCTAACTAGTATCTTGAATTTTTGAACTGCTATTTATAGCTGCTTCATTTTTGGTAGAAGATCTGTTTTCTCAACATTTTCTAAAGTTGGACTTGGCTCATTTACTTTTATGCCTCTTGAAGTGGCTGTGGAATAGATAAGTTACAGGGAGGATATTTGAAGGTTATAACTGCGTTATACCCCATGTAACCTCTCTGTAACCTACTTGTATCTTCTAGTTAGTTTCACGCTTCTTTTTTTATATATAGGTATCATATATGGTTACAGGGAGGTTACAGGGGCTATAACGCGATTATAACCTCCGAATATACTCCCTATAACCTATTTGCAGGTTACAGACGTACGCAGCTCTGCGTACGTCTTATGTACGCAAATTTTTTCTGTGGAATAGAAGCATAAGTTCTCCCATTTTGAAAATATATTTTCTTCTCTTGCAGTCCAGGGACGCCAAAGGTAAAAGAGCAACCCTTGCATAATTTTGTACATTGGAGCGAACACTAGGGACAACTGCCGGTATGCGATTCCCTCAAATTTGATAAATCCTTTCATTCTTATGTTGTATATGTTCAGTTGAGTGTTGGCTTAGTGGGTAAAGAAAACCAAACGCTACTGTGTTTCGCTGTTTTACTTCGGGAATAAGTGGGTGCAAACTGAAGTTTTGTTCTGGGGACATGTTAATCATGGAGACTTAATTTACTCAACCAAATAAAGATTTGAAATTTAATTCCTATGTATTTACATACCTGCCACACTCATGCATGAGAAATGTGTATTTCACTTTAAGAAGTTAAAATGGTGTTATTTTTTGTGATATAATATAAATGTAAAATGTAAAGTTTAGGTTTTAGATATGCAAGGGATATTGGGGGCTGCTGCAGCAAAATGTGAAATAATTGTTCTACGTTTGTATTATCTATATATATATATATATATATATATATATATATATATA